ACATAATGCAGCCATTTGTTCTTTCATGTAAAAAAATACTGACAATTTGGTTAAAGAATTGTACAGCTACTTTTTTTAAAAGTTGACATATATAATACCATCATAAAAATAAGTCATTTCAGTGACTAGTAGGGAGAAGTTAAACAGTGTTGTCAATACCATAAAACATGTTATCTGAATATACTTTTTAGTTTTACCCATATTCATTTCTTAATAGTTTTCAGTCTCTGTAAAATAAAGATACAAGTGTCCAAAGTTTCATTTTACAAAATAAATTGACAGTGATGGGATGCATAGTTTCCCTACAAATGTTTTAGACCTTCTTGCTCTTCAAAAGGTGATGTTTCATGGTCTGGGCTTATTAATGTTAAATTGTCAGGCTTCACTCTGACAATTCCACAATGGTGTCTTGCATTTCCTGCACTTGGTTCAGGGCTCTTGGTTTTCGAACCTTGGATCTCCTTTCTTGAGACCACTCCTATCATATCACCCTACTAGCTTGCCATACTCCATGGGTGATGGTTTTGGTTGGAGCTCAATTGTTTCAACCCAAACAGATTCTCCCAACAAAATAGATGCTGCATTGCAAGGTTTTCCTGTTGAATTGGCTCTCATTTTGAAACACTGATGATTGGTGGGTTGGCCACTCATTGGAACACCCAACTACACCCAGTATCTTACTCTTGAACTTTGACAGTAGATGCATTCTGTCAGAACAGAACGAGATTACAACTCTAGGTCCACCCTCCAATTCGTGTGTTATCCAAGGTTCTAGCTATGATTCATTCCAACCCATGGTCGGGGATCCTGCCGATAGCAACAGATTAGCAGCTAAACCCTGAGGGTTTTTGACCACCCCCTGTTGCTTTCTTAACCAGTTCTGCTAGATTATACAGAGGGGTGAGTATTTTAATTGCTACGCTTGTTTCTTCTTTACCTTTCAGGGTCCCTTACCTTGTTTACACAGGATGCCACTTTGTGGTGAGTGTTACCTAGGCAAGTGTGCTTTTATCAAACCAGTTCTGCACTAGCAACCACTAATTTATTATACTTTATCTAGGTTGCAACAGGCTTTGTATAAATCATGAGTAAAGCATAAGGGTATCCTGTCCGTCCCTGCGGATCATTGGATTGAATAAATCAGGGTTGGTTTGCTTTTAAAAATCTAGGGAACTTGGTTCACCTATTGCACTCTTCTTTAGGACCCACAGTGCCCATTACAGTGCCCCAGGTTATACTAGTGGAGCTAGGGAGTTCTTACCCCACCCGGTTTCTAATCACTGGGGTGGTGGACAGAGACTTTTCCTCCAGAGCATTACAGTGGATTTCCTCCACTCTTTGAGAAGAGGGCAAAGTTGGGGGCCCCTTATACCTGGGTCCCTGGATGTTTTTTCCAGATGTTGGTAGGAGAGGCACGAGCCTATGCGGGAGCCTACTTGTAATACCGGTTCAGATTTGATGTTCAGATATCTGGTTGGGTTGAATGTGTTCCTTCTTTTTTTATCAGTATTGGTTCAGTACATTATTCATCGAAGAGGGTCCATTGTCTCCCTGTAATTCCGAACGTAGAGTGGTCCCATCCAAGGTCCTTGGGTGAGCACAATATGTTCCACATCTTCTGAATAATTTCAGTGATAAGAAGAATTTACCTTGTCCATTTGGTTGGGGAGTGAAGATGGGTATTCATAATTCTAGACTAGATGAGTTCTGTTTCCTCAGGTTGAGTATGGCATATAGGATCTCATCATTCCAAGTCTGGAATGTTGCCTTTCAAACTTCTTCAGGTTGAGGAGAAGTTTTGTCCATTTCAGTGTTGCTTACCTTCTTGTTGTGATTCTGGCTGCTTGGAATGCATCACTTTATGGCTATAGGTTGGGATCTACTCATAAGTATGTGTGTGTGTGTGTGTGTGTGTGTGTATATATATATATATATATATATATATATATA